TCTTCTCTTTCAGTTGTTTGGACAAATTTATCGAGAAAATGGTGATCGTGGTGACCCTTGGGAACAAATCAGCGTAGAAAACAATTTTCAGTCATTTACACAGGCTATTCAAGTGTTATTTAGGTACGATATTGTAAACTGTATCCTTGTCTTTCTCATTGTCCTTTGTGCTTCTTCTTAAAGGTCTCCTTTTTCATAATTTAAAATGCGTACTTCTTATTTACCTTTGCAGATCAGCTACTGGTGAAAATTGGCATGTGATTATGCTTGCGTGTAGATATGGTGCTWCTTGTGATCCTCTGACTGGGAAGACTGGCGAAACTTGTGGCAGCGACATTACTTATCTTTATTTCATTTCTTTCATTTTTTTCTGTTCTTTCTTGGTGAGTTTTTGGGTAAAACGTGTGTTATGATTGGCTGATGTCGACTCACTCATTTGATATAACGATCACTGTGATTGGTTCTTGTGGGATGCGGAGAATGTTTGGATAAATTGTGGTCTTGTTGATTAGTTGATTAGTTGTCAAAAATATTTGATATTATAACGATCAATTTGATTGGTTGTCAAGGCTTAGGAACAGATGTCAATAGTAAAGGTCCGATATAACGTACTCTCTGATTGGTTCTTTCAGCTGCTTAACCTGTTTGTTGCTGTCATCATGGATAACTTTGAATATTTAACAAGAGATGAGTCGATTCTAGGCCCCCACCATCTGGACGAATTTGTTCGCGTGTGGTCTGAGTACGATCCAGGTGCAACGTAAGTAACAAAAAAAAATATATTGTTGGTTGATTAAGTAAACAAATTGATGTATGGTTTAATGAAAGAATGAATTCACAGACTTAGGTGAAGGATTGATGGATAAAGATCGATCATCAACCGGCATGCCTTGCGAGATTATTGTCTAAAAAAACGTAATCTTTATTATCTTTATTAAGACCGCAATGCATGCCTGTCGTTGATGAGCATTTAACTAGCAGCATCGGCAGCATTAATATAGCAAGCAACGTGTTTCTTTTTCTCTCAGGGGTCGAATAAAACACACTGAAGTATGTCAACTTCTACGGCAAATGTCACCTCCAGTGGGAATAGGTAAAAAGTGTCCGAAGATTGTCGCCTACAAGGTACGAGTTTGAGATTGATATATGAGCTGGAAAGGTGAGTGTGGTTACTAATGAAAGAACGTTTCAAACTTGCAGCGGTTGATAAAGATGAATATGCCWCTATACCCAGATAACACTGTGAGTTTTACTGCAACTTTGTTCGCGTTGGTACGGACATCGCTCAAGATCATGACGGAAAAAAGTGAGTGGATTCAGTCCTACATTATAGCGAATTATTTGATGTGTTTGAAATTATATATAAAGAGCTACAGTCAACTCTCGACTTTTGGACACCTCGATATTACGGACACCTCGATATTACGGACAGGAAATACTGACTCCCTGGCTAAAAAAGTACAAAGAAATGACTGATGGTTGATAATCTGTTTAGATAACTTAAGAGAAAACGACAAAGAACTACGAGCGATGCTTAAGAGAGTATGGCCCAAGTTGACAAAGAAAACTTTGGATAAAGTTGTCCCTAAACCGCCCAGTTTAATAAATAACGGTAATTTAATCTTTTTTGGATTTTTGAGTTTTAGGAWCAGTCACTCGCTCGCTCACTTGCTTTCAAGTGAACACATTTTAATGTATTGTTGGTTAATKTTCTAGCTAATAAAGAAAATACACAACAACAGATGACCGTCGGTAAAATCTACTGTGCAAAACTTATTTATGAAAATTATAAATTCCTTAAAAAGAAGGGACAACCACCACAGGTKAGTAGTATGGGAGGGGTGACACGGGGAAGTTTTGTTTTATTGTTTCAGCGRTGTCAAGATGAARTTTCAGCCATACATGATGAACCTATGATATTGRGCAACGTGGTTTTGTTGGCGTACTCTCTGTGACTTCTGCTTGTCTTTCTTTCTTTTGATAGTCTGAACTTACTTCCTTTTAAACTTTATCATCTGTTTTAAATCTTCTAACATACTAACTGTAATTAAACTAAAACTACTAACGAAGATGAACTTATTAACAGTCATAAACGATCTTAGTTTAGTGTCAAACGTACTTTTTTAACAGATACTAAAATAGCTTAAAGCATACCTTAAAACATTTCAATACAATACGAATATTCCATCATGGGTAAACATTTTGAAATTTTATATTAAGTTTTAATATTATCATTAATATTATCATTAATATTATCAATTTAAATTGTTTTAAAACTGAATACGATGTCAATTATTCGTATAACAAAAAATCCCGAGGGGAAGGGGGTAGATCAGAAATAATTTAGTGATGTTCTAACATTTGAGTAACTTTTTATCTTTGATGAAGGAGCAATTCCAAGACGACCTTGGACAGGTAAGGGCTAATGATATAGCTTTTAGGTATGAACAATTACAACAATACTCCAGTTTCGAATTCATAGCGAATAACCGCTGCTTTATTTGACAACAGATTCTCTTGCGCAAAGACTTTACAAACACAAAAGAGCGCACGAGAAAATGTCGTTATTACAATAGACTTGAAAATTTGCATTTTCACCGAGATGAGACTAACCCTGTATTCCCATTAGACCTAAGGTATGAGCAGGGTTAGCCTCAACTCGGGGAAAATGTAGATTCTTAGCGCTCTATTGTATTAACACCATTTTCTCGTGCTTTCTTTTGTCTTTGGTAAGTTCTTTGCGTAATAGAATCTGCTGTCAAGTAAAACAGCGGTTATTCGCTTTGAATTCGAAACTGGAGTATTGTAATTGAGTAATTTCACAAAATAAAAAACACTGCTAGACAGGTTTTGCGGTACCGGGAACAAAGAAATTGCAACCGAGCCACCGACAAAATGTGATGCGAAGACGAACGAGTCTTTTATATATTCATGAAAGAGTCGAGCCTGTAGATATGAATATAGGTGATGAGATATGGATTTAGAATCATCAAAAATTACTCCTTAGTCAGGATACGGCTATACGGTCATTTCTTTCAATCTGCCAATAGTAATAATGATAACTTATAATAATTTATGCCTTTGTCATTCGTGATGGCTGGTACATTCATAGCGCTGCGCTGCACTTTCGACAGACATCTAAAATCCATACATTTCAAGAGACGAGGTTTAAAAATATAGTTAAATTAAGTTGTCAGGCATATTTTATCTTGCAGCAAGCACCATTGCTAGGACAAGTCGTTGGCAGCCCTTTATTTGCACAAAAAATAAGGCAGGAGCAGCAGCCGCAGCAGGATCCCGAGTGGGGAGAGGTAGCGTGTTGTTTTAGTTAGCATCGTGAAGTAGCACTGCGCATGATCAGCACAGGGTGGCACTTTTCAAGAAGGTCATGTGATTGCATGACGTCACTTGATCGACGCAATGGCTTCATTTAGCAAACGGGTTTTTGGAAGTGGTTAATATTATTATTAATATTTTTTTCACTTTTTTAGTTTGCGAGGGTTGGGGATTTTGATTATTCAATTATTTAAAAATATTTTAAATGATTAAACAATCCGGCCTCCTACGCAGACGGTTAAAACGTWTTGCTGCGGAGGGGGCTACTAAACTATAAAATACTWTTTGAATTTGAGTTTAAACATTTAAACATTAATACCTAACAATATTAACAACTAATCTTTAATAACATAAACTTGATATTAACTCATCTCTAATGGTATTTCATTTTCTTGTTTAACCATCTTTTCGTTCTATTGCTTCCTCTTCTGTTTCATCATTCGGCTTCCGGTTTGACATGGTAGTTCGCTTCCGCAATCAAATGAGCATGGTCACTGGTCACGCAATGGTGCATTTGGGGCTTCTCCATTGCTTCATATTGAATGCATGTCACGCAATCAATTCCTTTCATTTCATGCAAGACATCATATGTGTATGCCTTTCACGCACTTACACCAAATAAGGAATTCAAGGGGCAATACTTCTGTAATATCTTATTTATGGTGCATTCAATAGCCGACTTGCGAATTACGCATCAATAGTCACATACAAAGGAATCAAGACGAGGCGCCGTGCTTTTTTGTGAAAAATCTATTGTCTTTAGCACGGCGCCTCGTCTTGATTCCTTTGTATGTGACTATTGATGCGTAATTCGCAAGTCGGCTATACCAGTCACGCAATACACCAATATGTCATACCTTCCTTTTACTTCAATGTTTATGTGTGCGTGTTTTGCTTTGGTTTAGTTTAGTTTTGATATTCTTTTTGCTGGTCTTCTCTGAATTTAGATACTCTAAGTGTATTGCTTTTTTTATTTTTCGTAAACGTGTTTGTTTATTTTATTTTTTCTACTAATTGTTTTCGAAGCAATTTTCATTGTAGTCTTTATATTTTCTAATCTTYTATGTCATCATTTTTTCCATGTTGAGATTTTTTTTGTGTGTGCTTTCGCGCTCGAATCTTTTACCTTAAAAATGTCTTCAATACCATCATTTTTACAGTATAAAATTATTGTCTTGTCAACTTGTACATGGATCTTTTCTCTATAAACAGTCTATTCACATGCAAGATATCAGAGCGTCCATGCCAGACGGTCCACCCATGTATCGTACACATTCATCACAAGCAATGAACCAGGTAACCATCATACGTACATCAATCATTCTCCTGATGATGATGATGATGATTGTGATGATGATGATGATGATGATGATGATGGTGATGATGATGATGATGATGGTGATGATGGTGATGATGATGATGATGGTGATGATGGTGATGATGATGGTGATGATGGTGATGATGATGATGATGGTGATGATGGTGATGATTGTGATGATGATGATGATGATGATGATGATGATGATGATGATGACGGTGACGGTGACGGTGACGGTGACGGTGACGGTGACGGTGATGGTGACGGTGACGGTGACGGTGACGGTGACGGTGACGG